TTTTTTTATATGTAAATTTCATTGTCATTGAAGTATGACAGCATTTTTTTAATTCCGACATAAAGTTAAATATACTCATTAAATCAACAATACCATATGTTTTGTACCTCGTTTTAAAATTGATGTTCATCCCTTAAATTGTTATCTTACCATTTATGTTTTCTCGATAAAAACATCGATGTATAGTCGTCAATTATTGTTTAATGTTTTACGGTAATAGATGACAAAGTCACGTACACTATCTTAATATATATATTTCTTCAGAAACTTTGATGATTTTTTGAGTCTGGCACTGCAGTCGGTACTTAATTGTTAAAGTTAAAAAATATGGGGGGGAACCCTTTGGGGGGTCCACTAGTATCTTTATTTTTCCAAAAATTTTAGTGAAGTCCCTCTACTAATTAAGTAATGATTTATAGAGATTTGTTGATTGTAACGGAAGTGATAAATGACAATATTACACTGTTTTTAAACTTAAAAAAAAGTTTTTGGGGTTTGGTTTTGTTTGTTGGTAACATTTCCTCCAATATGTTCATCACCTTACACAATCACAGATTTAGTGTTTTAATTTATTAAAAAAACGTTTCATGTTTTCATGTAAATAGGGAAACTGAAATAATAAAATAGTAGTAGACAATGCGCCTTATAACGACTTAATGCAGAAACAATATCTAGCTATTATACGGTTTTATCCTTGATGAAGTACTTATTGTAATGAAGGTGTATGTGTGATGTCATTGCCCTTGTAACATTGGCACCGAGTCGTGAAAATTCTGTTAAGTTCCTTGAGTTAGTTCTGTACAGCAAAAAAGTTATACCTTGAATGGTGTCCAAAGGTCACATTGACACTCCGAGTCACTAATTTAAAAATAATTGCTTTCAATACGCGGAATATCTCGGAAGAAAATGCACGTCGCACTTTTCCTGAAAGCGTATCACGTGATGGAAATAAAACAATTTCCAAAATAAATGTATCGTTTCATATTTATCTCGAAGCGGTGAATGAACTGTTGATCTGGTTCCTTTAAGTCAAAATCGTAATACGGAAATTCTAAACACGGTCAAGATTGTCATATTACTTGATAATTATGTCGAGGTTGAAGGGGAAAAATTTCGTGTCATAAATTTATTCTTTTGTCAGTAATTCGCCAATTATATTGCTACAGTAGATATTCAAAGATTGAATGTGATTCGCAATTTGTGTCACGCGACTGTCATGAAAATGTATTTACTCATAAACCTAGTCAATTCACCCAAATAGAATCACGTATCAGACACCGTTAGTCAATTATAGGTACTCCGATTTTTTGGATTGTATTTATTGGAAAGCCATAGATTTTTCAAAATCTTATTCAGTCCTTAGTCAATGACCTCCATTGAAACGTGTAAAAATGCCCATTTTTTATTGGTATGCTATTCAACATAAAGGATTTCCACGTGTATACAATTATTATGCAATCTTATTATTTATATTATGTGAAATCGATAAGAAGCGCAAGTTTAACAATATGTTATGGCAGATTTTCTAAGAATCGGCACTAATGGGTAATAAAATATGAGTGGAATTATAAGTGTTGATAAAAACAAGTGGCAGTTTGTTAGAAATAAATAAAATATTAGATACTGTAGCTATTGCCTATTGCATTGTTATGAACTCAAATGATTCTGGATTTCACAGACTGATAGCTATGATAATACAATAATTATAGATAATAACATCCTCATACGTTCTACATCCTAAAGTACGTTTTATTTAATTTAGTATGACAAGCAATTAATGTCCGCGACATCTGCGTAGAATGTTCATAAAATGCTTACAAACTAAAATTATATAAAATCAATCTGCCTCATTATACGTCAACGCATTTGAGACTAAAATGAGTATAGATTGTTCCTGAGTTATACTGAAACTAATACAATTATACTCTTTATGTACGTACCTAATGAAAATTTCTTTGCGATGATAAAGGTTTTGATTTCGATTTTAGATTTCGTTTGTTTTTCTACAGAATAAAATAATCACTAAAATTAGGCCGCATGAACTTTATTTTTAATATTAGAATTACATAACATGTTTACTTAAAATACAATATTAATCTGTGACAATACATAACGTCAGTTGACATTTACTACTGACAAGTGATCTGCGGCCAATTATTGGCGGGAAGCGTACGTAGTTTTTCCCTTAAGCTCACTTAATTTCAATAATGCTTTTCAGTACCTTCTGTGCCCAACCATTTAGTACTTAACGTGGCTACTTAAGTCATTATATGAAATTACTCCCGGTATGTTGTATAATAAAGATAAAATATGTCCTTTTTTACGTCTAACATATCAATCATATTGGCATGTGAATGTTTCAATTACGTCAGTGTTCGAATAATTGTGATTTAAGTAAAATCCAGTCTCCTAGTTAGTTATTCACTTGTTGACCTCGGCTTGTTTATTGCAACGAAATGCGGCATAAAATTAAAACAGCATTGTTTCTGGCGCCGACAAGACACGAGTGGAAGCCTTCTTAGAATGTTCTATTAAAGACTAATAGGCAATAATCGTCGTACACTGTACAGCCTAGATTTCCACGCAGTGGCATAGGCAATATATTCGTAGCGTAATTATTTATTTTATTGAGTCTGTAATGCTTAAATATACCAAATAATATTCTGTAAAAATAATATGTTACCTATACTTTTTATTCGTACTTTTCTTAACGGTAAGACCAACTAATATTTTCTTTCCCTCGTTTGCATGTGGTAACTTCCCGCTTAATGAGAGTTCATTATACTATTAATAACATATACAAATACTTTAATTTCAATTTGTAGTTCTGAAAGGCTATCTTATCCGTATCTTGATACGAAGCTGCAAGAGCATTGACCTACATTTTATTCGCACGGGAACAGTTGGCAACCATCGTAGACTAATATTGGTCGTAAAGGAAGCTACCTATTCAATACAGTTTTTTTATCCCTTGAGATTAATTCAAATAACTTATAGTACTTTTAAATGCGAGTTCTAGCCATTTTCATGAGCTTTACGTGGCATAGAGTAAAGTCTATAAAACGAAAAAACTTTATAAATATATTCATTATAATTATTATAGTAGGTGGTAATATATTACAATATAATATTTTCATGAAAATCCATATTTACGAAGAAATTTAAGTCAATTATTATATTTTAAGAAAAGTATGTATAGGTACGAGACGCTGCGTCATTATTCAAATGTTTACTTATCTGTGGCGGCGCCGCGCAGAATGGCAGGCACTGTGACGTTTAGGGTTTTGGCGCCATTTCTACGTTTTTGTATTTCTGTGGTACTGAATTTTAAAGGAATCTTTAAAGTGACTGATAATAGTGAATGTGAAGAAAAATTCGACTTCCTACGACGTTTTAACATAATCAAGAAATTTCTATAGAAATTGCTACACGGCGCTTACTAAACAAACATTTTTAAAACTAATATTGTTAAGTTCAAGGCCAACATATAAAGTAATGAATGAAATTTCACAGAACCATGTATGAAAAAAGCTGAATACTAAAAAAAACAAATGTTACCAATCGCGCTAATTATTTAACCGTTTCTTAACCTACTCTGATTCTTGGAAAGACGATACATCAAAGTCCAAAATTATCACCGTTTTGAGATATCCCGACAATAATAACTATTTATATATTAGTAATTGAGATTTAAAGTTGATTAGTCAACATTCAATAGTACTGTTATCTCGAATTGAAAGCGTTATTTCAACGTGAACGTGAAATCACGTGAATCACACAGACCTTGTGTAACATTGAAAGTAGATAATGGATAGTAGGTAATGTAATGAAAAATCTAAAAAAAAAGTTATTTGGATTTTTTGTATTGTAATATTTGGACCACGTAAAATATTTTAAACGGTTTTAAAAGAACTCGAAAGGAAACGATTACAATTTCAAGGCTTCAATACGATATGTTAGTCAAGGTATTATAAAAAACACTAAATAGGGTTTATTTATTAAAAATACACATCTAAATTTCTAATCAAATATTTAAATAACCGTAGGTAGTCGTTAGTAGTTCAGTTAAAACATTTTCGCTATTCACATACACAGAATAATATTTTTGATACTGAAATACTCACTGCGGATGTAGATTACTTATGTCGGTTTTTATTAACATTATCTATTTTCTGGATAAATTAGTTTCCTAAATTAAGTAAATATTAAAATATTAGGAATATGTTCAAGCATCTGTAGAAATGCTTTCATATATTAATGATTAACGTTATTAAACTTTGCTTTGCTATTAATGGGGATAAAATTAATTAAGGATCTCTGTACGTTCTACCAACTACATTTCAAGTGATTAAAGATTGCATAAAATAATTAAACTTTTATTGACAAAAGTAATCGTGTCTAAGACTTTCACGCAATTTCAAATTACGTAATTTCTTGTGCCAGAATAACTAGCGGCAAATTATATATTAAGAAGACACAGGTTTAAAAACGACACGAATCATTTGAAAGTAGAATTCTGTAACCGCAATGCCTAGATAATTACTAAATAGAAAACTTTAGAAAGCCTCTAAATAGTTTATTACTTTCGAGAAATGTTATTTTACTAATGTTGAGCGAGGATAATCTTTATTTTCTTACCACGATTTTGAAATAAAGTTACTTAGTTTTTGATTATATTTAAAACAAAGATCTTTCAGACGTATTACACTAGCAAACGTTGTTACTCGTTACTTAAATCTATAGTTGTTTCCTTATTTTTTATGTACCTCTGTTAGTAGATATCGATGAACTAATAGGTACCTTTGTTAGTTCGTACTCTATAATCAGGTTTTAACCAACCTCTTCTTTTGTTTCAGTGTCAACATTTTTATCCCAAACATTATGATTTACAAATGGATATTATGATAAGAGTGAAGTGTTGTCAAGAAACTAAAAATCCAAAGTGACGAAGTGATTCGGGTGTCTGTTTTGTTACGTTCCGTTGCTTTAGAATAATAATTATGTCAGATAAAACGTCTTCGTCTGTTGGACCGAGGAGTTTCGAGACGATCTCCGAGGAGGATGGTGAATCGCCCTGGGATAAACTATTAGGTGATGTGAAGGCTGCTGTACCGACGATAATAACGACCAACCCGTCGACCGCGACGATGTCCCCAAGTGGGGATGTGTCTCCGCCCCGTGTGGACGTCGAGTCGGCCCTGACGCGGTCCAAAAGCCTTAACCAGCGCAGAAACAGCAGCGGTCTTCTCGCCACATTCCCGAAACAGCTCAGACTGTCTCTCCGCGGTGTGCGCAGTGAACCTTCGAGTGTCAAAGACGCGCCAACCAGTAGAAACGAAAGTGCCCTAAATCTGTTACTCAAGTAAGTACCAATTTAAACTATTATTCAGATAATGAACAAAAAGAAGCCTATGTCAATCAAAATGTATTCATAAGAACACACGAGAACACAATTACAACTTACTTCTCTTAACTTTTAAAAGCATATAGGCTTCATGAAGCTGTCCTCTAGGGGATTAGGACAATGACATTGGTATTATAAATTAATTAATGTCATAAAACCGACACTCAACGAATTGCGTCACGCTTCAACCGAACGTTTTTATATAAGCGTCAAAAAACCATTAGTATGGTCATCCGAAACAATGAACAATTGGAAATTAAGTGTGTGGAACCTAGCTATTATGAATTCCCATTATTAAAAAAGCGTTAAGCTTTATCATCCTGCTAAAATAAGATCTCAATGACATATTATCACAGTATTTCTTTCTTTTACAAAATTTCGTTTACATTTATATTTATTTGTTAATAAAGTTTGCACATATAGGAAAAGTAGGACGCCTATTCCAAAATTCAGTAGTTATGGAGCAAACTAAAATGTTAATCATTTACTGTAATTATAATGGTACTTTTTAAATACAACTACCAACAATTGTTGCACAATTGATGACCGAACAATTATATTTAGGTATTAGGTAAATACTATATTATCATATAGATCTTTGGCATAGAACTAGCTAGAGTGAAATCCTTCATGAGTGCCAACGCGTGCTTCTCAATATGATCATTTAAGAATTCTCATTAGACAGGCGTAAAGGTCGAATGGCGCCCATGGCTTCATCGGTCGTTTTATTGCTTATTTATCACTTCAACTAATTTATTTTCCAACCCTTATACGGCTTCAAATATCCCGGTTCTATACATACTGAGTCAATCTACAAATAGGACAAAAGGCTTAGCAAATTCTCCCAATATATTCGTTAGATAAAAGCCTATTTATTTATAAAGTTTTACATTTGTAGGAACAAAGGAAAAATATTTATCACGTGTCTTAATCGTTATTGGCTCCTTCTCTAAATGCTGGTTGGACATATATAATGGGAAGTGTTTGATTGTGGGACTATAAAAAACATATGGGCACCCACAACAATCAGTTTTGTCACCACCATATTTCTGTCTTGAATAAAGTTTTATTATTATTGTAACAAGCAACAGCTCAGACTGCTATAAAGCTAATTAACAACATATGGATGTATAGGATCTGAAATATTATTATTATATTTAATTATTATATCACTGTAATAAGAGTCATCAATTAGGAGGTGACGGGTACAAAGTAAATTAAGTTCACTATCAAAATTGATAGGTAGTGCATTAGTTTTGTCGCTGAGTGCAACCGTTTCAACGCCTACCATTCTCAGTTCATATCTGAGTACGGCGGTAAGAGAGATACCCGTTGACAATGAAGTTACGTTTCGGTAGATTCCTAGACGTGCAAAAAACCGTCGCATCTTAATGTATGTAAATGATAGCAGAGGAAACGGACGTCCTTTGAGCTCTATAGGTATTAACAGGAAACCTGACGCCGTTCTAGATGCCACCAAAACAATACCACTTTTATAGTGAAATCACGCACAGCCTTTGAATCAGGGTAATTGAAATGTCCTGCTTGTAATCAATTGTATAGACGTATGTTGCTTGACGACAAAGTTTCATGACTGACTTTAAAATAATAATAATAATAAAATAAAACGTATTTAAATACTTTAACGTCTCATCTAAATCCAAACCTCAGCGGTTCAATTGAAAAGTCTACATATTAAAGAATGAAAAGAATTCGTTTTTTTATATACGATATGTATTTTGATATTTCTCCTCTATTTTACTCATATATTTTATTACCATGTATTGTCTGTGTCGAGTGGAAGGCATCTATAGGTGCTTCTCAGTCTGGATACCTGTTTAGAACTCTTTTTTTTATGGACCCCTACATCCTAGCCCATGAGGCGCGCAATCAGGCAGATATGTGACCGAGTGGCAGCAGCAGGGAAGTGTCGAAATCTCCCCTTTCTTAAAAAGGGACATTGTTAACCTAAAGGGTTGGCCCGGGCGAGACGACTAGGTACTCCGGAAATATCGTCATAATATTTATGGGCGAGTAGAACTCTATTTAAATAGTCCGTTATCGTATTGCTCCGATGTAATGAAAAATCTATCGAATCTTAGCATGTTTTCTAACATTATTTTACGAACGGGAAACTTGAAACTGCATCTAAAGCCTTCGCTAACGCAGTGAAACCGACACTTAAATATTGACGAAGCTGTGAAAGCGAGGATGTGCGAATTGTTAATATGTTGTTCAAATTCTGACCGCGTCCACACCAAGAACGTCGCGAGGCCGATCACTTCCTCTTCACACTAATATATTATAAATTTATCAGAGGTATTTGGCGTGATATTTGACGTGTGCCAAGAACAATTGCAATCGACACCCAGCTAGGGTTACCATTCGTTTTTTTACATAAATATTATTTATCTATAATATTATAAAGAGGAAAGGTTTTTTCTCAGTCTATTCAATGCAAACAGCATTGACCCCCAAAACTACTGTAACGATTTGCAAAATTCTTTCACCATTAGAATCCTATTATCCCTTATAAACTATTGATGAATGATGATGTAATAGGCTATACAATTTAGTGAAAATAAAGGATCCGTATGAAAACTTCGAAAATATGTGAAAATAATACTAATAAAAATCCCCATCGTACGTTGCGGAAACTACTGAAAATAGAGCAAAGTGGTGTACTACCGTTATATAGAATACCTACATCAATATCTACAAACAAGTCCGGGATATCATATCTCAATTATTACCTATTTAATAAAATAAATATCCAGCCGTGCGGCTGCTGAACTGAACACTTGTACTAACTATTTTAAATATTGCGATAGTGCTTAACATATAAAACTGTAGCATAGATCTTTTAAACCAATCTTTTATGTTTCCACCGTCCCGTAATATAGGCAATATCTAGATGTATATGGATCAAATGCTTTTGAAGTTATTAATGTTATTTTTAACTTAATTTATAACGTACATATTTTATTTAAATCCAAGCTTGTCAGTTATAATAATATCTGGTACCCCACTTCCGGGCGTGCCTTATCACTAAAGGGGCATTACTACATTCAAGGCACGTTTTGAAAATTTTCTCCATACACACGGTTTAAGGACATTACAATTACTCAAATGTTAACGACTGCTAACTAAATACCGTATACATGACATTTTCCTTATATTATTATTCCATATTTTCCATTATAATTAATGCGAGCTATTTTATAATTATTTTCATATCTCATTTTATAAATCATACCTTGCAAATAACTACAAATGATCAATCTGGATATAAATATTTCTTTTATGGATTTAAATCGAAATTTAAAACTAATCGGTTTGGCCACAGTCAATTAATAAACATTTGTTACAAAGAATACTCGAATGGATTTTTTAAAACGCAAGAATCCTTTTCGACCTCTCATTATAATGCAAATGTATGGTTTCATACTTAATGTAAAATTTTATGACTCATAAATCCACTGCATCGCTGAAACAGGTATTGTACTTACTTTGTCTTCAAATCCAAACAATACTTCATAAATATTATAATAATTTTAATTTTACTACTAGAAGACTCGTTCGTTCTTAATCTTTAGTTTGGGTTTATTCCATTGATATACAAAAACCCAAGATGCACAATCAACGTCTAAAAAACGTCCTCAAAAAATGAGCGCAACATTCTAAATTGTGCGCTCATTTCAAATAGTCTCGCGTCTATAAGTGGAGTCGATGTTATTTATTTGTGTTTTTTTTATAAATAAATTTATGTACTCTTGAACTTTTTTGTGTGTAGTTTTTGACAAATATATTTACGCTATATAAAGTGTGGGTCAGGAGGTAGCCAATTTAACATTTTTTTTTAATTTAAAGAAAAAACTTTTTAACCGGATTAATGTTATGTATTATTATAAATTTACAACTATTTAACAATCAACACCTTTTGTCTTCAGTCACCGTGACCACTCACGCTGTAAAGCACCCGAAAAGTGGGATAAATTTAAAATTATGTTAATTAGTTGTAAATAAAAAAGTCATGTTCGACTCCACTCAATACCTTGTCCTACCGACCACGGTCGGTCGTAAAATTTTATTGCTTTAAGTACGTATACACTGCGTTGTAATAACAACTTTAAGCAATTCGCGTAAGGTTGATTTTGCAATAATATATGCTTGTAACATATACTGTTATGGACAGAAATAGTGTTTCGGGACACTTTCGAGCGTTACTTTTATTCGAGACTGTGCATCTTGGGTTTTTTGTATATCAATGGTTTATTCCTAAATTCATTATCGTTAATTAAATTATGCCAATAGTATGTAAAATTCCTGATTTTAAATTTAGTAAAATTATTAATCAAATCATAAATAATATCTAGCAAAATAAAATTTACCAAATATTTTTTTTTACAATAATATTAATTCGAAAATAAATTAACCTAAAATTGGTTTTGTAAATAAATAGGTATTATATAGAAAAAGTGTTTCTAATTAAATTTCCAAGGTAAAAAAGAACGTGGATTGACTCATCATTAATCATATATTACCTTGGTTCTTTAAAAAAATGTGCAAGTTTAACTATTTTCGAACAATATACTTTTACTTAAACCATATACTTATGAAAAATACGCTGGCATTGTTATGGCCTTGTCTAAGCTGAAACTTTTATCCGTAACAAATCACAAATCAATTATATGATACAATCAATGGAAAATACCTAATACTTACTTAAGAGTACTTTAGCATGTTTTAAATTATAAAGTTTTATTATTATTGTATCAAGCAACAGCTCAGACTGCTATAAAGCTAATTAACAACATATGGATGTATAGGATCTGAAATATTATTATTATATATTATTATTTGGGTCGAGTCTCGTAAAATAAAAAAAAATAAAAAAAAACCTGACTGAATAATTCAAGTTTGGTGAAACAAAGGTACAGTACGTAAAGTATATAGTG